ATTTGCCATAATTTTGTTACCCCGTGGAATTCATGTGCTGAGAAAAGTGGTGCTGTCCCAACATACAGCATTGCTTAAAGTTTATTATAGTTTTTTTCCTGTTGGAGATTTATTTATAATAAGTTAGTAATGTGCTGGATTGTGTTTTATGCTTATTCTGTGGTAGTAGTAATTTCAAATAAATAAATAAAATTGTTTACTATGCTTTGTGCATGAATATTGTTACTGATTCAGCAGCCTAGCTTATTTGAATCAAACATAAACACATTGATAAGCTACATGCCATGGTTTCAACTTAAAACTACTATTTCTGTATTTTTAAGACAGTGCTGTATTTAAGTGCAACGTGCATGACAAACTGAAACAAAACCCAGTGGATGCCAACACTACAGTTGAGAGTACAACGATGCAATTTGCAAAAGCATTTCAGTTCTGTCCCTCCTCTCATCTCTCCTAGTAACAAACTAAAATGCTCATTTTTGTCTGGCTGTACATCACTTGTGATGTGACTTTCATATTTGACAAAATAACATGCAGAACTTGTAGGCTGCCTTTTAGCGCCTTTTTTTTTGCTGTCTTGTACAGAGCTGGAATGATTTAAATTATAATTACTTAGAACAGGCACTAATGTGTTTCAATTTGCACTTTGTTTTACAGGTTCGTTTGTCTTCAGAAATGTAGTAGTGGAAATTTATACAGCACCAATGGTAAGAGACAAATAACATTAATGACTATTGGGGTTGCATTGGGCCACCATATGTAAAAAAACTTTAGTTTAAATAGCACTCCAACCTTCATACCATCCTACTAATTTGAATTGCTAAAACTCAGTGAGCTCCTTGTGAAATAGTCATTAAGCCTATGTGTAAAGATTTGCAAAGAGAAGAAACGATATACACAGAAGACAAATGATGAAAAATCAAAAAAAAAAAAGAAAACCACAACAAAAAGGTATAAAAATTTGTATTTATATTATGACGAGATAATGATACAACACAATACTCTGTGTGCTACAGAACGTAGCAAGCACCACGTACGTGCGTACAAATGAATCTGTACAGTATAATACATCTCACAGACTATGAACCATTCCTTTGGCTCTGGGACTCAGTGGCTCTGGCACAGAACGCGCTCGCCAACACCTTTAGGTAACAATTCGACCGGTAAAGAGCAGAAAGATGTCTCCCAGTGCTTCACGTGCACCAGAATTTCATCACTTGTAAAATCCGTATTGCACAGACTGTTTCAATGACAAACCGAGGGTAACCACTTTTTACACCTCTCGTGCAAAATAGAAGGAAGACATTCTGAAATTGGGGCGCCCTCACTCTGCTTTGCCAACGGGCAAGTCTCTGGCTGGACACGCCTTCCCAGGAATCCTGTGCTGGGGTTAATTCACAATACTTCAGTTAGAGAGAACAGCCCAGGTGCAAATGGCTTCTGGTCTTTCCTGCTTCATATATCCGCTGCATGTTCAACGTACGTTATTACACAACACACTTGGGTGTTTCTTTTGCAGCCACCAATTAACAACAGCGCATTTAGTCATTTAAGCAAATTGGCTCATTCCATTGCTGGCGAAATTGATTTCTGATGTGTTTCCCCCATCAGTATTTGTAGGGAGTACAGCTCTTCCTCAAACAGTATCTAAAGGGATTCAATTCTCCTTCCACCGATTTTGGAAAGCGCGAGTTAGTGGATTTAGTATCAACACCGCTGCTGGCTCTTACCACACACAACCAAAGGCCTCTATGGTTTCAAAAAAAATTAACAGGTTTCTTAAAGAGTAATCTGGTTTGCAGACATTGCTTTATCAACACCATCATAAAATGAAGTGTAAAAATTATTACTTTATTAAAAGCTGTGATGATGTAGTTCTTTTCAAAAATTTCTTTTCCACAGAGCTGACCTGCAAGGATGAAAATTCTCACTGCTAATTACCAGTCTGCTATAAAGTTGGTAAAATGGTGAAATAGTCCCTTGTCACAGTAGCAGAGCCTGCTGTAAATACCTCCAAGAAAAGCAGAAGTACATCCTGTGGCTACACACGCCCCAGGGCTTGGAACGGGAGCAGGTCTGCAGGAGGAGCTCACGTACACGCAGCTTCACCTCTTTCTGTTTCCCAGTGCTCTTCTTCTGGCATTTAAGTTCATCCACTGAAATGGATTATGCAGAGGGTACATAGAGGCTCAGAATACTGGTCTTTATCACAGAAATTTATTTGTATATCAATAGGAGTAAGGTTTTTTTAATACAAAATTATGTTAGGCTGTGTGTGGTATAGCTGAACCCATGCTCATCCATGTCAAGAAAAATAACACCATTTAAGGTCAGAAAAAGTCTTAATTCTTTAAGTTAGATGCAATTTGTATTAGATCTTAACTCTTTTTTTTTCCACCCCAAATCTTACACTAAGAAATTAGGATAGAAACTCGTCTATAAACACCAGATAAAAAACTGTCCTCATGGATTTTTGGGGGCCTTTTTATTTCTACTTTAATCTGATAAAACTCACTCTGAACCAAGTTTGAGTTTGCCCAAGACACCACAGGTCTCTGGGTAGCGATGCGTTGTAGAGTTTCTACTGGTCAAACCCTGCTCTTTGCAGAAGATAAATACATCAGCTGCAATGGGCCTGGGGTGGTACAAGTTGGGCAGAGAGAGGATGGGTGTGAAGGAAGATTCATCCTCTGAACTGCAGTGGAGAATCTGCGTGGAAAACTAACCATTTTAGGCTGTTTTTTTTTTTCTGCCTCTCTCCTGTGATGACAGAGTGCACTCATGGAGCTAGAGGAAGAGCTAACCCAGGAGCAACGAAGAGGCGTGTATCCTCCCAACACCTGCGTGCTGCAAGGGAGAGCCCTTCCTTTCTTCTCCCACCAGGGAACAGGCCAAACCTCTATGTCTCCACTTCAAAAAGAATTTCTTGATGACTTCATCTCTCCAGAGCCTTTTCCACAGAGGAAAAGACCTAGCAGCCCTGTAATCTTGTCCTGACTCCTTCTTTTCCTATGTGGCAATTGCAGAGAAAATAGATTAACTGCGCAGAAGTACCTCCTCACCCGCTTAAAAGCACGGTCATGACACAAAACGGCAGGGCTGCCAAGGCGGTGGTAGCATTTAATCTCGCAGCAAGCAGTCTGCTCTTTGCAGTCTCGTGGTGATTACAGATAGAGTTGCACGCGCACACACGGAGGCATGCATGCATGCACACACACGGAGCACACGCACGCAAATATCCAGCTTAAAAAATTAATAAAAATCGAACACTGTTTGCATCCCGAGGTGCAATGGCCACAGATAGCGCTGCGCTGGCTGCTCAGGAGCAGGTGAATCACGTCCCTAACGGAATGTCAGAGCCCCGCGGGTCGGCCGGGGCAGGGCTGGGCTGCAGCACTGCTCGGGGCACAGGCAGCTGCCCAAAACAGCCACCAAATCCACCACTTGAAGCAGTTGTGCCACTGCCTTCAACTGGGCTGCTTCTGTCCAAGCTGCAGAAAAGGGGCTGTGCCTGAAAATACCTCCTTAAACTGGGCTGCACTCGAGGGTGGACGACACAGGCAGTGTGGTGTCATTTGTCTTTACCGGCATAATAGCCCCCAGCTGTAATAACTGCAAAAGTAAAAACAAGTAAACCCTTTTTATTTCCACTCAAGATTATTCGAGTAATTTTTATTGAAAATATAAGATCTACAAAGCCATGGATACCCAGCGTGGAAGAACTCATTAAGTTAGCACATTCATCTTTAAAAGGAAAATTTCAGGTCGACCTAAGGTACAATAATGTTCAATTTAAAATCTTGGTTTTCCTTCTGTAAGTTTCAAATCTCTTTTCATTAGGAGGTTCTGTGCAAGAGCTGCTTGTCATGAAAGGAAACACTTTACAATTCATGAATGTGTTCATTATATAATAAATGAACAGCAACAATATACTAGCTTTTTTTTTTTTTTCCTGTTAACAGTCGTGTGTTAAAGTAAACTCTTTTTTTTTTTTTTTTTTCCACGATTTGGAAATTAGTTACATATGCACCAAAGGAGCTAGTAATTTCTGCTGCTTGTCAGCTACACACAATGAGTATATTGCTGTGTGCTTTCCCCAACACTGAGGATTTTAGTAATATGCAAGGTGTATAGAACGTAATACCAAAACCTGCATCACAGAAAAGGTTAATTGTTTTCTTATTCAGCTGCCAGAGTTTATAACCTTAGGCCCCTCCCCAGAGCCAAAGTAGAGGTGGCCGTCCATTAGGTTATGTAAATTAAACGTATACGTTTTCCTTGTTGGCAAGTTCCAAGCAGTAAGCGAGAGTGCAAACAAGGATCTGTAAGCTGCCACAAAATGTATTCATGTTTCTACTCCGTGTTGTAAGAGCCAAAGGGAGGACACGTATGTCAGATGTTGAAAGAACAACTGAACCTTTGTTTTTTTGATCATCATGGTCAGTCTGTCATGAGGTCTTGTATCCGAATGCTAAAAATGGCACCACACTTGGACATCCCATAGCCTTACACAGTACGTTTGTGTTTCCCTAGCCACTGAGCACTGGTCTCACAGAGACCCTGACTTTATAAGCTAACAAAATATAGATTCGGGTGCTGAAGAATCCAAGGGAGGGCTTATACAAAGACAATTAACCCTCGCACCAAAACCTAATTTTATGATTTTACTTAAAGCCACGCTGAATCAGTTGTGAGAGGGTGAAGATATAAATACACCTCTCTGCTTCATCCGTAAGAAGGTGGACAACTGACCATTCGAACAGAGGGTCTTGAAACAAAGCTTAGTTGTCCTTTAAACAATGAAAAGGAGAGGCATACATAAATGGTCACCAAGGCACAATATGACAAAGGTGAAGAGTCCCTGAGACTCTGGTCTGGGTCTGTACCATTCCCCTCCCTATACAAGTAAATGAGAACATTTAGGAAAATATAATACAAAATCTCTTACAGGAAATATAGACTACACTTGCTAAAATCACTTCCCTAAAAGTGTTTATAGCTTTTTTCTTTTTTTTTTTTTCCTTTTTTTCCTTTTTTTTTTTTAAATTCTTTTTTTTTTTTTTTTTTTTAAAAGACCTTCTTTAAACAGATAATGCAAAGACTGGTCCATTTTTTTCTTACCTGGCAAGCCAAGCTCTAATGACTTCACTAAGCAGAAGTTGTATTAAAATACATCTTCATAGTATTGCTACAATTTGGGTAAATATGTTCCGAACAGCTTGATGAGTACTAAATAAACTTTGCTGTTTTACAGCATACATTTTAATTTTTTTGCACTTTTTTAAGAATAGAAAATGCAATTATAGTGTGCAAAAGAAAAAAAATTAATTATCTTCTAGCTGAATACTGTAATTTTAAGCCATGCCTTCCATAAAAATGTATTGACATGTGTAAATAGAAGAAAAGAAAAAATACAAGCAAACAGAGATTTCATTTCCTTGCAAGGAAAGATTAACTATCACAAACTGGATCACTTGAGTTCTGTATTCTTCAGACAAAGAAATGAAAAAAACAACCCAAAAAACCACTGAAATGCTTCAAATGTCATCCATTCCACGATAACAGGTTAAAATTGCAGTGCTGCTTTCTACTACTCCCATTAACGTGGACAGAATGATTTGCTGCTGGTTGGATATTGAATACAAAAAAGCAAAAGAAAGTTGAGATCATCCCACATGAAGTCATTATTAGAGCTGGCTTTTCCCCCGTTTTGAAGTACAGTAGTGACTTGTAAATACGACCTTTTCTAAAGATCATCTGAGATTTGAAGATTTATCTGCCTGCTTCACCCAAACAACAACTGCTGAAAGAATTTACTCTACAGAGCTCGCTACACAGCGTTCAAAATGTTTTGGGTTTTTTTTCCATGAAAAAATACCAGAAAAAATAGTTTTAGGTTTTTGTATCTCTGAATCACTGACACATTGTAGATTCCATTTATTCTTCCATGTTTGAAAATGGTTTCTGCAAAATCAAAATAACTGTCAAACTCCCTTACGCCATGCTTCCAACAGTTTGAATTTAATACTTCTTGAATGGAATGACATAATTTATTTTCTTTAATTTGCAGTATGGCTACATCAAGCTAGCTTTAAGTCACAACTGTACCTAACCACAGTTCTCTGCAGCAAACCCATGATTTACAATATCTAATATTGTGGTTACAGTGCAGGGAACCGTGGGTAAGAAACCTCCATGTCAGAGTACTGTGGTTGGGGTTTCCCGGAAGAGTGGCAGTTGACACCTCTAGAATATTCATATATAAGTGCTTCAGTCAGATGGTCCTGAGTCGAACGGGTAACTCAGGCACTATGAGAGCCTGGCATTCAGTCTGCGGGAATGTGTGTAACCTCCGTCACTCGAACCGCTTTGCAAACTGTAGTGGTCTTCAGCATCACTGGCACTTCCAATACTGTCCATTTCACCTGGAGTAAACTCCATTCCTTCAATGTCTACTTCTAAAGAAAACATAAGAAGGCACATTTTCAGAAAGGCAGCGGTTGTAGCGAGTAATCATGGGCCAGTGTCAATCAATGTTCAGGTGAAACCTGAATCATACTTCATTTTCTGTAATTAAAAAAAAAAGAACCGGAACAGTAATTCCTGAGGAAAGGACCACCTTGTCCACCTGAGAATTAAAATCTCTTCTGTCCTCATCGACATAAATATACTGCATGACATCAATACCAAATGCTGTCCCAGAACTGTTCCAACCTGTGCACAGGCACTGATTTAAAAAAACCAAACCCAACCCTCAAAGGCCATAATACTGCAGCACCACTCATGGTAATTGCAACCTATACAGGTGTCGGCGAGTAGCGACCGTGGTGCAGCCATCTGTCCCCCCGTAACTGCAGCGTGAGCGACATCCCATCTCCCATAGGCCCTGACCAAGTCAGCCTGTGCGAGTGCTCTGCCACAGAAAAACTTCAAATGAGAAACTAAGAAATGGTGACAGGCAGCTTGAAGAGCTCTGCCTTAAATGAGAACCAAATGTAGAGAACACTTGGTGATCATTACACAGAAAATATTTTAAAATTTCACAATAAACGATGTGGAATTAATTTATTCATACAAATGAATTAAGGCCAATAAGATCTTTTTTTCCAAGAAGAAAATATTATGCCAGCCTTACCAATAATGACAATAAAAATTCAAAACATGAAATGGTGATTGTTTAAAAAACTGGCAAAAACACATGCAGTATAAATAGCTTTTAAAATACACACAGTATTAATACTTCAAAACTGATCAGAAAAAAGAATGTTTTTCAAATAATGTAAAAAAGATGCAGCAGTTTTTTATTCTGCAAATTGCATAATGGAACAATTTTGTCTGGGTTTTGTTGAAAGCTTGATTTTAGTCCTAAATAATGTTTTCTTGCTTCCCTACTTCCCTTTTCCTTCCTGCTCCTGCAACTCCCTTTGGGAAGCCCTCGTTCAATTACCTTGTTCAGAGTCAGTGGATATTGTTGATCCCATACTGTCAGTGCGGATACGCTCCATGCCCTGCACGGATAGCTGCTCCAACCTGCGTTTGAGGTAGCGGTGTTCCCGCTGTAATTGTTCTTTAATATTTAGAGCTTTTCGGTCCTGCTCTTCCAATTTCTTAAAGGGAGAGAAAGATAGTAAGCTGACAGTTTTTACTCACGTTAAAACATAAGTAACTTAAAATCTTATCATAAACAGTAATTTTAAAGCAGTTTAAGTATTTTAATTAATTATTTTTAAACTAAATTTACATTAGATTTAACATTTTATTTTTTTGTTACCATGCTATAGAGGTCAGTACAATTTAGGCAGGCTAGGCCAGCGCTGAGTTTGTTTCACAG